GGGTCACGGCTGGGTCAGCGAGCATTCCCACTCATCCACTGTAAACACTGAACACCAGCCTAGAGTCACTGACCGTCAGTGACATCACTGTCATCAGCATATGCGAGTTCCTGGATGGAGCTGAAAGGCTGACAGTGCTCAAAACACGAAGCTTAGCTGCCCGACCAGTGCCTGTGCAAAATTCAACAGCTGTGGATGAACGACATTTTATTCACCTTGATCTGCTGTGTCTGTTTGAGCGACTGTTCCATGTACAAGTTTTTCTTTCCCACGGTCACCAAAGTGAGGGTTTCTCTGAATTCCTGTCGTCCTTCCCCTGTGCCTGTAAAGCACCTGACTGTTCTTATGATTTGGTGCTACATTACAAAAACACTGAATTAAAACAAAGACCCCCACATACTCATATACAGGTCATTTAACTGTAATAAGAATAAACATGACTCACATGCATACAGATTAAAAGATGGATTGAATAATGAAGCCAGTATGGAAGTGAATTCTTTTTAATGGAGGAAGCAAAACCCTGACGAGACGTCAGAAGTGCTAAACAAAAACCAATCAGGTGCTCTGAACGTGTTCGAGTCAGTTTTACTTATAAAGCATCAAATCACAAGAACAGTCACCTCAAGGTGCTTTATATCGTATCCAGCGGGATGCAAAAATTTGGGCAGCCTTGTTCATAGTCATTATTTTCCTGTATAAATCGTTGGTACAATAAAAACTGTCAGTTAAATATATCATAGACACACAGTGATATTTGAGAAGTGAAATGAAGTTTATTGGACTCACAGAAAGTGTGCAGTAAGTGTTTAAACAAAATCAGGCAGGTGCATAAGTTTGGGCACTGTTGTCATTTTATTGATTCCAAACCTTTAGGACTGATTATTGGAACTCAAATTGGCTCGGTAAGCTCAGTGACCCCTGACCTACATGTACAGGTGAATCCAATAATGAGAAAGAGTATTTAAGGGGGTCAATTGTAACTTTCCCTCTTTTAATTTCCTCTGAAGTGTAGCAATTGACAGAACAACTGTCAAATGACCTGAAGAAAAAGATTGTTCAGCATCGTGGTGGGAAGGACACAGAAAGCTGCCTCAGAGATTCAAGCCGTCTGTCTCCACAGTTAGGAACATATCGAGACAATGGAAGACCACAGGCTTAGCTCAAGTTAAGGCTGGAAGTGGCAGACCAAGAAACATCTCAGATAGACAGAAGCGACGGTGAGAACAGTCAGAGTCGACCCACAGACCAGCACCAAAGACCTGCAACATCATGTTGCAGCAGATGGAGTCGCTGTGCATCGTTCTAACATTCGGTGCACTTTACACAAGGAGATGCTGCATGTGAGAGTGATGCAGAGGAAGCCTTTGCTCCGCCCACAGCACAAACAGAGCTGCTTGAGGTTTGCTGAAGCACATTTGGACAAACCAGCTTCATTCTGGAATAAGCTGCTGTGGACTGATGAAACTACAACTGAGTTATTTGGGCATAACAAGCGGCGTTATGCACGGAGGAAACAGAACACAGCAGTCCAAGAACAACACCTGCTGCCTCCAGTAAAATATGGTGGTGGCTCCATCATGTTGTGGGGCTGTGTGGCCAGTGCAGGGACACATGGATTTCACTCAGTATCAGCAGATCCTGGAGACCAATGTCCAGGAATCAGTGACAAAGCTGAAGCTGCGCCGGGGCTGGACCTTTCAACAAGACAACGACCCGAGACACTGCTGAAAATCCACTAAAGCTTTCATGCAGAGGAACAAGAACAACGTCCTGGAACGTTCATCTCAGCCCAGACCTGAATATTATTGAAACCTGTGCTGTGAGTTAAAGAGAGCTGTTCATGCTCGGAAGCCATCAAACCTGAATGAACGAGAGATGTTGTGTAAAGAGGAATCGTCCAAAATACCTTCAACCACAATCCAGACTCTCAGTGGAACCGACAGGAAGCATTTAGAGGCTGGAATTTCTGCAAAAGGTGGATCTGCTAAATATTGATTTCATTTATTTTTTTTGTGGAGCCCAAATTTATGCAGCTGCCTGATTTTGTTTAAACAATTCTTGCACACTTTCTGTAAATCCAATAAACTTCATTTCACTTCTCAAATATCACTGTGTGTCTCCTCTATGATATATTTAACTGACATGTTTTATTGTAACAACCAACGATTTATACAGGAAAATAATGACTATGAACAAGGCTGCCCAAACTTCTGCATCCCACTGTATCTATAATAATTCAGAGTAAACCCAACAGTCATGTGACCCCCTATGAGCAGCACTTTGGCGACAGTGGGAAGGAAAAACTCCCTTTAACAGGAAGAAACCTCCAGCAGAACCAGGCTCAGGGAGGGGCGGCTAACAGGTTGGGAGTTAGAGGGTTTAAACAGCATAACAGCAGCATGTAAACACACCGACACCACTTTGTAGGATTGACTGATCTTTCTGTATATTTTCTGCGTTTTGTTTTTGTTGATAATCTGAATTAGCCCTGCGACAGACTGGCGACCTGTCCAGGATGTACCCGCCTTTCACCCCATGGTAGCTGGGATAGGCTCCAGCCCCCCTCCGTGACCCTGACAAGGACAAGCCAAAGAGAATGGACGGACGGATAAACTGAATTAAAAATGAATCAAGAGCATCCCTGCGGACAGAAGCCATCACAGCACATCCTCACTGACCGGGCACGAACACCGTCTCCCCGGGTCTCTGCAGGATCTCCAGCGGTCTGAACTCTGCGGGCCAGGTGGGCTGCTGCGTGCGGGGATAAACCACGCTGAACCAGGTGACCGCCTCATCCTGCTGGTTGCCGCCGTCCTCTCTCGTCACTTTGATCAGCTCCCGTGGCGTGTTGGTGGGGAACAGACACCATCGCTTGTGTCCCTGAACCAGAGCGTTCCAGGCGCTGGTGCCCAGCGGGTCAATGTGGATGCCGGTGCCGGACCGGGCCGGGCCCATCACAAACCATCTGTGGGGGAAATTAAGCGAATGAAATCAGACGTCACAAGCTCAGAGAAACTAAAAATTGGCAGTAGCTCATGACTGTAGCTCATCACTCCTTAAACTCCAGGCCTCTGGGGCCGGTGTCCTGCAGGTTTTAAAGCCTGGTTCAACACACCGGAATCAAATGATTAGTTCATTACCAGGTCATTGAATCAGCTGTGTTGGATCAAGGACACATCTAAAACCGGCCCTTGAGGCCTGGAGTTCGCTCACCCCTGCCTTAAACTTTCCCCCACTTCCTGTTCCAATTTCCAATCTCAACTCAAGCTTTATTTAATAAGACCTGAAACCATAAACTCATCAGGAAAGTCATTGCAGAGGTCAGACACATTTTCTCAGACTATAACCACAGGAGTCGTTCCTGCTGGACCTGAGACAGAATGCAGGTTTGAGCCCCTCGGACCTGGACTCGTGCTGGATGCAAGAAGCTACCTCCTCTGTCTTTTTCTAATCACTTTGCCTCAGTGGAAAACGTCATGAGGTCAGGGAAAGGGCTGAAGTTATCCCGGCTTCAGAAAGTGACCGTGGATGATGCCGTCCTCCTCAGGATGCACTACAAAGCCCTCCTCTTTCATCTTTCACACATCAGTTCTTCCTGCTTTGCTTCATTCAAACTGAAAAATATTTCATTAAAAAATTCTAACCTTTGTAAAAGCAAACAAACTGAACTGAAGGTGTCATGCTGAGCCGAGAAGCCTTCACATGAAATATAAGTGAAAGAGGAAATAGGCTGGAGAGGCCCAGTTTGCACTCTGCTGTAGAAGGTAATAAAAGAACAGCTGTGGTTTTGGCTGCAGGTGCTTCACGGCCAATTATAGAAGTTAAAGACGCTGATTATTTTAGAGTTTAATCTGCCTCCAGCAATCAAGAGGGTTAGTGTGGGTACTGGGACGACATATTGGTGAAATCTGAGGGCTCAAAAGCCAAATGAAACCGAACAAATCAAAAATATCAAATAATCCATCAAGAGGTCAAATTACAGCCAACAGGGTTAGAGATCTGACCAATCAGCTGATCAAATGAAGAGCGAGTGCTCCTGATTGGATAGAGACGGAGCAGATAGACCGCTCACCTGTAGGGCGGCCTGCGCTTCTCCCCTGCAAACTGGAAGAGGTCGTCCCTGAAGAAGACGGGAACATCGTAGTCCTCCAGCAGCTTCCGCCGCTTGGCGTGTTCACCGTAGCTGCTGTCAAAGATGTAGAGCGGGCTGTCGTCACGGGTGGACTCCAGGTACTCCACGTAGTACTTCATCTTCATCTTCACTGAGTAACCGTCATTATCCTCACCACACTTGAACTTCTGGTTGCGGTATTTGCGTTTTAAGCGCTCCAGCGTCCATTTTTCCCGTGCGGGCCAGGTCTCCTGACAGTTAAGGAGGACGACGGGCTTGTAGGGGCGCTCGAAGCGCTCGATGAACTCCTCTGTGGTCAGATGGAGGGTGTCCACGCGCTCCACACTGTCCTGAAACACAGCACAGCGCGTTACATATTACCATTATATGTCTTTTATAACAGCTGTAATGCCACTCCCGAACGTCACACAGCTGCAGCTCAGTTTGGCGTTTTCCTGCTTTTCATGAGATCAAACTGTGAAACCTTCCCATGTTTAAATCCTGCACATCGTTAAAATTTTAATATTTAATGGAGGGAAAACACTTCCTGTGGATGAACAAATAAAGAGTATTTGTGGCCAATATACTTCATTCTATTTTGTATCATGAATATTTTACTATTTATCTTTGATGTATTAATCTTTTTACATTATATTACGGAGTCGTTATTATAACACGGTTATTTTAGGTCATTACCAGTGTTTTGTGTTTCATCGTTTTCGGTTGCAGTGGCCACTAAATGTCTGAATTACAGTTTGTAAAAGTGCTTTATGAATAAAGTTTGATCGAAACTTTGATCGATTTTTCTTCGCAAGTACTTTTATAAAATGTTAACAAAGTTTATTAAGAGAATATAACCGTCTGCTTCTGTGATACACCTGCTGTACTTCCAGCACCTTAAGTATGTGTTACTGATACTAGCCCCAGGCTATCAGTACTTTTACTTCGCCTGTTCCTCCACATTCGTGTTGGCTCTCGGGTGTTATATGTGTGATGAAGGCAGACGGACATTAACAGGAGCTCATATCAAACATCTCACGTGCCGGCGGCGCGAGCAGCGGCGACGTCTCCCACATTGTGTACGTGACAAGCTGCACTCCCCTGTTAGCCACTGTTAGCTTAGCATCAACAGTTACCTTCACAGTACGGTGCGACAGGTCGAAGGTCTCATGGTAGCCGTGTTTTATCCAGTCCAGCGAGTCCTTCAGTTCGGGTCTGGCGCTGCGTTTCGCCTCTTTGATCCTCTTCTTGCTCTTGTGGTTCATTCCTCCGCCCGGCGTGTTTATCTTTGCTCAGCTAGCTGTCAAGCTAACCCGGTGATACCGCACAAACACATCCAACAGCCTGCGCTCTCACCCGGCTAACTGCGCTGTTCTCACACCTTCTCCGGGTTTCTCTGATAAAACGACACAGCCACCCGCCGGGTGTGTGATAAACACGTCCTCCGATGTGAGATGGTGGATGAGACAGAACTCTTAAAACCTGCCGGGCGGATAAAGTTTGATAAACAGCTAACAGGAGCAGCTAGCTGTTAGCTGTGTGACACAATGCTTTCGCAACTGATTACGCAATTAGCCACCGCCCCTCTGGTAGTTTATTGGCTACATAAGCTACCGGAAGGTAAGTGTCAATTGGTTGGGCAGTCGAGTGAACCTTCCCGCCTGTGATTTTCATTGGCTGTTTTAACACCCTCCTTTCTGTTTTGGTCTGCGCGGAACTAGTTTCCAATGTGGCGTTATCTGTTGCATGAGGTTTTCAGGGATAATAAAAATATGGGTTTTATACCTAAAAACAAAGAACTGGACTGATGGCAGGTAGATGTAACAAGGTCAGGTAAAAGTGTGTATGCTTACAGGATGGCCGACAGTGGAACCGAAACGCCGAGCATAGCTTATAAAGTGTTCACGTTTGAAGACGAGAGGAAAAACGCACGGGAGTCCCTCTGTGTCTCCATACCCGAGGTCTGTTCAAACCTGTAAATGTAATATTATACCGAGTGTATAGCAACAGAAAATACACTCAGAGTGAGAAACTAATGCTTTATTATAAATTAAATTCGTTGTTGTGCTGTTTAGAAATCGACGTGTTAGCTCCTTAAAAGTGGTCAAATTTAAGTTTTGTACAAATCGAGACTATTTTCACATTTTAAAATCCTCGATTTAATACAGCATACAGGCAATACACAAGCATATTTGTGTTTAAGTAAAATTTATAACCTTTTAACCGGCGTGCTGTTGAATCACGCTTCATTGAAATTAACCATAGGTACATAAATAATACATAAGTTTTAATACGATACCTTCGAGTCCTCTGTTTTATTCGGCCTAATATATTTATTTTTGTAAACTGGACCATCATTGCTGATTTTACTGGTGTCCTCCATCAGTTATATCACAGTAAGTGGAAGGCAGGAGGTAAATAAATGAATCCATAAAGTCAGGTTTCTGTGCGCACACGTTGGATTGACTCATTTGTGATTTGAAAAGCCAGAAACTCTAAAAGCCTTGAGTTTCTTAGATGTGGAATCAATTAGGACCACAGCCCTCTGTCACTTTAACAACTGATTAGTTCATTTTCTCAACTTATTATCATTACTGGCCAACCGGATATCAGAGGATAACAGTTAACAGATGATTAAAGCCCATGAGATGTCTGCATGTGTTAATTTTGTTCCACAAAACCAAAATTCTTTTGGTGCCTCAGGTCCTCGACCCGCAGTTCGGCATGTATGTGTGGCCGTGTGCGGTGGTGCTGGCTCAGTATCTGTGGATGCACAGAGAGGAGCTGAGAGGGAAGAAGATGCTGGAGGTGAGCAGGAGCACACATTCAGACTCACACATGTGGAGATAGTAGAGCTGGGCGATAGAACGATAACGATATGTATCGCGATATAACTTTTACTCGATAGAGAAATTAAGCTATCGCGATAGACCTCGCCGCTCTTGTCCTCTTTAAAAAATAAAAAATAAAATTAAAAAAAAGGTCAGCCAATCCAAATTAAGTAGCGCAGAGCCGAACCAATCACAGCCGCAGCGTCACGTCGCGTGACTTGTTACGTACAGCACAAGTGCCAAGCCGCACGTGTGTTTGTTTGGGAAGCAGCCAGCGGGTAATGGAGGAAATGAGTGTGCCGACTAGAAAAATCAACCGAGCGTGACCGAAGAGAAAACAGATGATGGTTCCAATGTCGGCGAGATTGTCGAACGGAAGAGCCATAGAAGCTCCGTAGTGTGAAGGTATTTCGGCTATTTCAAGTCTGACAAAAACCGGGTTGGGTTGCCTTTTAACTGTGCCGAAAGCAAGTCTGGAAATACAATAAACTGGTGCATGCGTCACACTGTGCGCCACGTTATTGTTTCGGTGAAATGAATTTCTACAATACTGTTACTGTTAATTCTACTCTCTGCAGTGTTTAAATGCTTACATATACACACAGTTACTGTCCGTCCACACATACGACTCGGTTCTGCTTCTATGCCCCAGCTTTGTTTACTTTTTCCCACCGAGGCTTCTAGACTTCTGATTGGCCAACATTTCTGCACGGTTAGGAATCTAGCTCCACCTGCTGCTTTGGCATGTTCATAGCAGCGTTTTCCTTCATTTCTGCCTTTATGTGTGGACGGGATTATTTTTTAAAACGAAAACGGAAAATCTCCGTTTTCAAAAATACCCGTGTACGTGTGGACGTAGCCTCAGTCTCTGACTGGAAGCGCTAATTCGTCATTAGGCTTTTGTCAGACTAAAGTAACTGTTACAACTGTTTGAAAAGCTCAGCTATACAACAAGGAGAGATTGAGAATTTCCTTTTAGTTCTCAGTTTATTTGATATTGACAAAAGTTAGTCAGTTTTGTCTGTTCTTCTGTAAAACAAACTAAGATTTATTTTTAGAATTAATACTTTATTTCTAAGTGGAATTGACAGTTTAGTCTGTTTCGTTTGTTCTATTTTGAAACTTAAACGCTTTAGCGGCTGCCTTTTTTGTAGTTTGCAATATTTGCCTTTATTTATCTGAAAAAGTCTCATGTTCCTTAAGTACATCTACCCTGTTGAACTTATTATGGGAAATAAATATTTAAATAAGAACAAGCTGCTGATTATTTCACATTTTACTTAAATCGTACAAATATAGTTATTTGGCTTATATCGTGATAGATATCGTTATCGCCTGAAATGAAAAAAACATATCGTGATATGAAAAAATCTCATATCGCCCAGCTCTAGGAGATAGGTTACACTGATCCAAAGCATCGCAGAGCTGTCAACGATCCGTCTGAGGAGTCATTTGATGTGCAAACATAGATCAGTGGAACCGAATGAGGGTCCGAGGTTATTTTGATAAGACAAACCTTAAATTAATATTTCAGTGAAGACAGTTTAGTTTAAGGGGTTTAATTAATGAGTAAAATAACTTTAGGTGCCAAATATAAACCTGAGACTATTAGTAGTGTGTAAGCCACTCTCGTCAGCATCAGAGAAACACGTGGTTTAAAGCGAACCAGCTGCAAAGCTGCCTAAAGGAGTCGCGTTAACGCTGTTTCAGCTCAGCGCAGGCGTGAGTCTGCCCGGCGTGGTTGCGGCGCGGTGCGGTGCCGTGGTGATCCTGTCAGATGCCGCTGACAGACCGGCGTGTTTGGAGAACTGCAGGCGCAGCTGCGAAGCCAACGACCTCGGCGACGTGCCGGTGGTGGGTGTCAGCTGGGGTGAGATCTCCCCGGACCTCGTCCTGCTCCCCGAGCTGGACGTCATCCTGGGCTCAGACGTCTTCTACAATCCCGAAGGTTCGCAGCACATTTTCCTGTCAGAAAGCAAAACAAAGTATTCAGACGCCGTCACGCTTTCAAACCTGATTGATAGAAATTTTCTAAAAACGTGTTTTTGATTTTGACAATGTTATAGTTGACTTGCATGTAGGTCAAAGGTCAGCTGCATAGTTTGGTCTCCAAAAGTTGATTCTGTTCATCTGGACGTAGCGTAGACATCATAGTTTGGTATTTCTTCATTATTTTTATGTAGTTTTAAATTGTTCGGTTGATATTTCAGTGAAGCTGGGCGTGTTTGTAAGTCAGGTGTGAAACAGCTCAGTCACCTCCTGGACTGAGTCGACCGTCTGTGTTATCAGGGAAGAACAAAGTGCAGTTATTAATATTACTCCACTGTTTATAAAGTGCTCTGCTCCTGTATCAGCTTCTCTAAAATCACACTCGTATCTGACTGGACTGTTTTTCTTTCAGGACGCTTGGAAATGTAAATATATTTCCTGTTGATGCACCAGGATGTAAAACGATTGTACAAACATTGTTTATGGAGGATGACGAGTTGTTGCCTGTTACAGATTTTGAAGACGTCCTTGTGACTGTTTTTTTCCTGCTGAGAAAAAACCCCAAAGCCGAGTTCTGGACGACGTACCAAGTACGAAGGTACGACTGCTCCTCTGTTTCAGTCTGTGGACGAAAACCTTCACCGCTCTGATCACTACACGAGCCTCAGACCCAGTCTGTGCGATTTCAGTGATCAGAAAGTGGCATGAGATTAAAAATTGTTCTTTTAAAAATGATTATAATAATTTTAATTTAAAACTACCATTTGAATCATTTTAATGTATTTAGATATTTATTTTAAATAATTTGTTCTTCCACAGCCCACCAGGGGGCAGCAGCTCAGGAATCACTGATGTAAACGATCACATTTTTCATTTTCATCTTTTTCAATACAAAAAGAAGAAAACTGAAGCTGCTAAACTTTAATGTGGAAAAGTTTTTCCTTCTGTAGTGTAACAGTCACGTAAGGAGCTTTGAGAGACGAAGCACACGCTAACACCCAAAATGTGATCTCATTCATGATAATGTGCGCTCCAGGAACATCCTTCATTACACCAACAAAAATGACCATATTTACTCTTTTTTATTCTTTTTACTCCATTTTGAAAATACAATTATATTTCATTAAAATGTGCAAAATAACATAAAGTCACCGGACTAATCGTACGTAATCATGAAAATAAACACTCGGTTGCAGTTATTTAGTGTTTTGTGTTGAAAAAGTCCTATTTTGGTTAAGAAGGAGCCAAAGGAGCTGTCACAAAGTCAGACACGTAGCCTGAGGGTTCGATACCGGATCTCTTCTTCAACTGATGACAAAGAGCTGCAGCGGAGCAAACAGAGTTCACAGCTTCTTCTTCGTGTGTTTCAGCGCCGACTGGTCGATCGAGGTGCTGCTGCACAGGTGGAACCTGAGCTGCATCGAGGTTCAGCTCGACCAGTTTGATGCCGACACACCTGAGCTGGCCGGGTCTAATCTGCCCGGCAACCACAGCATCCAGATGATGAAAATCACCCTGAAGACAGAGGATGCTGGACAGAAGGCCGTCCACAGAGCTTCACCATAACCTCAACCACACCAGCAGCACTCAGGCTAACCAGTGACTCATGGTGTCTGGTCAGACCTGCTGTCAGGGCTGCTTTTCCAGTCCTGACAGGCTGAAGCTGGAGGCTGTGCTTCCTGCTTTGAGCAGCAGAGGGCAGCGTTTCACCGAACTTGACACCTGAGGTCACAATGATTAAACTTCCTCGTAAGCGAGCCATTCCTGCGTGTGGTTTCTTTGTCTTATTCATGAGTTTAACTCTAAATTCACTCATTTTAGTGCAGCAGCTGGTTTTGCAGTTTACACACACGTGTGTGAATGATTCTGGTGGATTGCTTAATCTCACCCTCACTGATACAGATGTGGATTCCAGGCCTCACAGTCGTGTTTGCTGTGAGCTAAAGTTCACACACAACAGCGCATTTTAATGTCTCGCACTGTGCCTGACTGTGTACGGCTTTATCCAAACCACATGTGATCCGCACATGGATATATATGTTGTATGATAATAAAATGATGTTGTTTTGGATTTTGTGTCCAAACCAGAATGAAAACATGTCAGTTAATCTGAAAACTGCTGAGACGATATTCACTCACCTGACTGCACGCTAACCCAGAGCCGTGTCAGCAGCTCACAGTCACACTTTAGCTATTACACCAAACTGGAGCTAAATGAGGAAGACTGCAGCCCTTCACAACCAAACAAGTTAATCTGCAGCAATGCTGTGCTGGTCTGTTGAACAGAGAGCTTGCTGTTCATCTACGTTCACCTTTGGTCACAGACACAGTAGTGACTGAAAGGCCGTCTGAGACGGGATGAGGGGGTTTGGGAGGGACTGAGAGTAGCACCACTGCTCCTCCATATCAGCAGAAAAGTGTGTGACCTGAGCAGAGAGAACACAACAACCTGGAGTCACTGAATTAACCAGACCCTGATTTCTCCATCGGCCTGTTTTATACCACATCAGTGCCCATAGCAACCACTTAGCAACCACATTTCCTGTCTCCACATCTCTGATCTCGGTCCATCTATGAGACGGACATGTTCCTCTGCTAACACAGGGAGACGTCTGCAGACACGTCCCACTGTCTGTCTGCATGTTCACATGTGTTTGCTGCTCAAAGGCACAAGGTCAGGACTTCCTGCACAACAAGTTCAGGCACAAATTCCAAAGCAGAGCTGGTACTTAATACAACACACAATAACAATAACAGTCAGACATCATTTAGACTGTTTACCAAACTCAGCACGAGCCTGTGGGTTCACATCAGGACAGATGTGACTGTGTTATATGTGCTCATGCTCTGGACTACAGAACATGCTCTAACATATACTGATACAAGAGTACAAATACTGGATTACATGTGTATAATTATTATATAATATGAATTCCCCATAGAACTCCTCATGGTCTACAGTTTCTAGTTAGTGCTGTCAAAATTAATGCGATAATGCAAATTAATCCGCCATCACGGTCAATGCGATTAACATTTTTAACACTATTAACCCATCTGGTGTGCAGAATGACTGAAAATCCCTGAAACGTTTCTGTCAACACTTTTCATCGTTTGAACTACAGCTGGTTAAAATTGGAAATAAAGCGCTGTAGTGTATCGTCCACCTGGCCTGAACAGCATGTTTTTAAAGTTCAGCGACTTTTTATCCTCGACTTTGAAGCTGTCCAGACTGGTTATAGTCGAGGATTTTAATATACACACTGATGATGACTCTGACCTGTTTGGCAGAGGTTTCCTTACAGTCATGGATTCTTTTCTTTTTACACAGCATGTGTCTGGCCCTCTGCCTTTGATACTGTGGACCATCATATTTAGGTTTTGACCTTGACTTTCAGGGCTCTGCATAGACAAGCACCAACATATATCAGTGAACGTCCATACATTCCCAGCAGGTCCCTGAGGTCATGTGATCAGGGCTTGCTGGTTGTCCGACACACGAGGCTGAAAACAAAAGGCGACAGAGGTTTTGTAACTGTGGCCCCCAGACTGTGGAAGTCTCTCCCTTTGAGCCTGAGATCTGTGGATCTGTGGTGGCTTTTAAAAAACAGCTAAAACAGAAGTGGAGGATGCAAGAAGAATGAATTCAGTAAAGTTTGACTTGTTTTGATTTGTTTTGCTTAATGCGCCTTATAATCCAAAAAATATGGTAACTTCTACCTTGCTTTAGCATGTCCAGAAGTCCAACTTTTTGTGTGATGGTTAGCATCTTCCTCTGCCTCTTGAGTGCTACCGCAGGTGCCTTGCAAGGCATGGAGAAAACGTCAGTACTGCACTTCAGAGTCACACTGCTAAGGATCGATGTAGTGATTCTGTACTGTACAGGAGAGAGGGCACGGAGGAGATGGACAATGGTCTACAGTCGATCAGGACGCAGAACACAATGATACAAAAAAAATTATGCAAAATTGCACACAAAAAATCAGCGAAACAGCGAGGCCGCGAAAGGTGAACCGTGTTATAGCGAGCGACCACAGTATGAGTAAAATTAGCATTGCCATAAGAGTGCATATTACATATTAGAGTATAGGTAATGGATTATATATTTCTATACAAGTTCAGGCACGAAAACAATATATATCATATATATCTATCTGCAGGTTTAAGACACCGAAGTGTTTCCATCCACAAACATGTGAAAACCGTCTGCACTGAAGCTGAAGCACACATTTGCATTTGTATCAGGAAACAGTCCTGTAGAAACTCCTAAAGTGAGAACATGGAGTTTATCCAGGAGAACAAACACAAGAAAACCCTGAAACCCAAAAATCCTTTAAAATGAGAACAAACTGTATGAATGTAGAACAGAGTCTGTGACGGCCAGCAGGATCTAACCTGATCAAACTGATAGATTATCGATCTGTCCAACAGACAAAAAGACATTTAAAGACTGTGTGTTATCTCACAGGTCACCACTGGATGTGAAAGCAGTCACAGGTGAATGAAGATAAAAGTTCACTTAACATCCAGCAGGTCACTGCAGCAGATCCAGAGTTGGGCTTCACCTGTTTTTATCCTGTTTCAGTTGTTTCAGACCCACAAGAGGAAACATCGTAAAGCCAAAATATTAGAAACATCATCTGAATCTAACATCTAGTTTTTTATTAACATGTGGCTCATACAAAACCTGAACCCTAAACTCTGGTGACCTGGTGAATGTTCAGTTGTATATAATAATGTACAATGATGATGTGTTCATGTACAAAAAGCTCCCATCTGGCAGGGTGGTGGTGGAGTCCCACAGCGTGGAGCTCAGAGCCTCCAGTCATTCAGCTGCTTTTGGAAACTCGTACAATCGAGCTCTGAGACGTCAGCAGCAGATCCAAACACCGCGGTCGTTCTCCTCCTCATCACTCTCTGCTGAGCGCCTCACAGACTTTCTTTTAGATGCTCCAACACAGCTAAACATCTGGTTCTGGTCAGGTTTCCAGACTGTCCACTTCCTGTGATATATTCACACCTGACATGAGTCATTATTATGAGACATTGTCTCCTGTGAGTGGTACTTTCATCAGGTGGAAACCTGCTTCCAAAAGGAAAGTGATGTTCTGTTTTAGGTTTGTTTCCCAGTAATGAAAGTATCCAGTAATCGTGTTGCCCTCCCCTCCACCAACACTGAAGCGCCCATGGTAGTTAGTACTTATTTCACTGTAAACTACTCTGCAAACCACTGACTCTGTCTTAAAAACCCTTCCTGAAATATGAAAATTAGATGTGGTTAACTCAGTTTGAAGAGCTTAACTAAATCAAAATCCCCCAGTAGGACTAAAAACTCACTTTTTGCAGCATTTCTCAGTGAGCGTTTTGGCCTTCATCGCTAAAGCTGTTGTTCCCATCAACAGTACTGAACCCCCTAAAGCTCCCAGTAAAGCTCCCGATGTAGACGTCAGCTCACCACCTCCAAGTAAATATCCCCCCACAGATCCCAAAATGATTCCCACCAATCCAGTCCTTTCCAGAAGCGCACGCCTGCCTGTTGTTTCTGCTGTTTTTGGTTTTTCGTCCTGCTCGTCCGGTTTTCCAGCCTCTTGGAGCATGTCAGGAGTGTAGAAGTAATCTTTTCCCATCGGTGTTATCTTCTTCAGCAGCTCGGTGACCTGAGCAGGACTTTTGTCTTCAATGTTAAAAGCAAAATATCTCCACTGGCACTGCTCAATGAGTTCTCTGAAATCCTTACTCTCGATCATAGCCTCCTGTATGTTAGCTTCATAGTCTTCATCTTCATTTCTATGGGTGAACACCACTGTTGTGTAGGCCAATGCACGTCTGCCAAAGGTGCGTTCAAAAACCTCCAGTACCTCTAATTCTTCAGAGGTGATCATACCGAGCCTCAGCACCAGCAGGAACACATGAGGACCAGGACTGGCAAGATCAATGGATCGCTTGATCTCGTTCACCAGCTCATCTTCATGTTTTCCAGGTTTAAACAGACCTGGAGTATCAACAACAGCCACTTTTTGACCTTCCACAGTGCTGTGGGATTTCTGTGTGCGATCTTTGGACGAATCCTTTGAGGTGAAAGTCTCTGTGTTCCCCATGATGATGTTTCCTAGAGTACTTTTACCAACCCTGGTCTTCCCAAACAGCACGATCCTCAGGTCATCTGTTGGAAGAATATTAGTATGTGAGAACTGTCCCAGTCACCATCTCTTACAGCACTGACATAAATCATAAAGCAGCTGCGAGGAAGGAAATATAAAACATGAAGGCAGGAGGAATGAACAATCAGCGTTTATTAACAAGGAAACACAAAGTCTAAGGAGCTTAGAAATTCTCAAAAGAGGATCCTCTCTTTTGAGGATGCCAATGTTCATATTTTGGACAGAGAGGACAGATGGTTTGAAAGAGGAGTGAAAGAAGCATCTATGTCCACTGTGAGCGACCATCTTTGAACAGAGGCGGGGTTTACGACACCAACTCTCTGCCATCTATAATCCAGTTTTGAGATCCCTCCCAGATACCTTAACGCCCACTCACATTCTGGGCCATCTGACCTCAGGAAATCACATGATAAGGTGGGGCCAGGTTTCACAATGAACTCACCCAAAACTCTGGCTGATTGGGACCCACACCTGTTTTCACACCTTGTCTCATGTGCTTAGGAAGAGGATCATCAGGTCACTCCCACTGGACTTAAATCTGGGACTCTCCACCATTTTACCCTAGAACTGAAGAACCTTCTCGAATGAGAGGTGAAACGTCTTCAAGCAACTTAAGAAAGTCCAGAAGCTTTTCTTTCTAAGCTCCTTAGACTACGATGACTAAGAACGTTCACAGACAAGGAAACACAAAATCTTTCAGCAGAGACACAAAAAAAGATTGCCCAAAATCTCTCGTGCTCGTATCTCATGTTTCGGAAGAACAACCTCTTGAATCTCAAATGTACCTTGTAACTGCCAATGAATCTTCCAGCACTGTGGAGGAGTTTTGGCCCACTCATCTTTGGAGGGTTTTTGAGCATGAACCAACTTTTTAAGGTCATGCCACAGCATCTCAATCGGATTCAGGTCGGGACTTTGAGGTCACTACAGAGTCCTGCTGCAGAACCCAAGTGTGCTTCAGCATGAGGACAAAAAGGTGTGGCTCTAATCAGGAATGGATATAGTTAGAGTTTGGAGAAACCTGGAGTCGGGATTAATTTCCTGGTCAAGTAAAGTTAGCTGACTTAAAGCTAGCAAAGCATGCTGCAACCAGCAACTCTAAGCTGCTGATTAATATTCTGATGTTTTCTTTTTGGGGGGGATGGGGTCAAACCCGGGCTTACTGGGCTTAAGCCCGGGTAATCTTATCAGAGTCTTGGAGTGTTATTTGTTTCATAGTTAGATGCCTGACTGACAACTGTATAAAATAAAAACTACATGACGCACAGTCGTAAATCCCCCCTAATTTTGGTATGATCCGAGCTCAGGCACTGGGCGACTGAGCACTTACACATGTGAGCGAGGGGGGAGAAGCTGCTGCCTGCGAGTTTGCTGCACAGAGGAGAGCTTAGTTTCACCAGGTACCAAAGCAAATCATTCCCACTGTACAAATAATGTAAATATGACGGTGTATCACAAAATATTGATATCAAACTGATCACTTGACCCATATTACGTTACTTGTTCTTCGAGTGAATCAACAAATGGCGAAATGAAAAGCCGAACAACAACAATGCTGTTTTTTAGAGAGTCTTAGCTTACATTAGGGCTGGGCGATATGACCCAAAATTCATATCTCGATATTTTTTAGCTGGATGGCGATATAAGGTATATATCTTTATATATTTTTTTTTTAAGCCATAAAGTAAGAACAAACAGAGAGTTCTTAGTCAAAGCTGTGTCCCAGATGTCACACGGGCACTTTTATTAACATACAGCATAGATGTACATGAAAAATTACTCAAAATTAAATTATGAGTATTCATTAAATAATAATGCTCCATAAATAAAAGAAAACAATGTTGTTTTTGTGCATAACAAAAAGCTCACAATTGTGCAGTGAAAATGTAAACTAAAAGACGCTGAGCATAATAACAAAGACAGATTTCACAGCTGCTCTCTTTCCTGGACAGCCTGGAGTTTGAAATCCTCTTCGTAACCGTGTCTCTTACAGGTGCCATTTATGGTCCTTATACACACACAATACGGTAATATTACGTTGAAGCACAGTACGTATCACTCCGCCAGGCTCCGGACTACGGTAGCCGTAATGCTCCGACAAACCATCAAGCGCTGCAGCTCCGTAGTTTAGTAAAGTCAAACTAAAACATTTTTTGACAGATTGCTGAGCGCCGTGTACCACATAAAATCGGTTTGCGGCCATCAAGCACAACCAGAATTCATACATAAGGCGCGCTGTGAACTTTTGAGAAAATGAAAGGATTTTAGGCTGTGCATGGCGTTAGCGTGGTTAGCTCGTTAGCGTGGTTAGCTTGTTAGCGTGGTTAGCTCGTTAACACGTTGATGCCGTCCAGCCCCACGCACGGGGCGATGCGCAGTAACTCGTTAACGGAGATTTGCCGTGTCCATCTTGTCGCTTCCTGCAGGTGAAGCGATGGGGAAGGAGGGGGAGTTGTGTTCAGTGAAGGAGAGGCGAGGTCGAGTAACGTTGCGTAAAGACAAAAGTGGATGAAAGAGAGGCAACCTTGTGGCTCCACAAGTATAATTATAACATAACATAGACTATATGATATAAAAGATATTGTCACATCTTATATCTCATATAAAAATATATCGATATTTTTAAAAAAACTCGATATAACGCCCAGCCCTTGCTTACATGTGTGTTTATTTCATACTTTCTGTTGTGACCCTCCACGGCTAAACAAACTCTCTAAATTGGTTTCAGTTATGTACTGATGGACACAAAGGAAGTTAGCTCGCTAGCTTCCATCTAAATACAATATAGCATGTCCTGACTGAGGGGGTTTGGAATCCCTGGGCTGTAGCTACAACCTAAGGTTAAAACTGTTAAAACTATTGTTGTTGTTTTTTCTGTATATGTCTGAAATAAAGATACAATACAATACAATACAAAACAAACAAACAAACTGAGCTTAAATAAATGATTAGTGGTAATAAAAGCCGAGGGAGGTCAACAGTGATCACTGACTGTTTTAGGAGCTTTTTGAGATTAAATTGAAGAAAATACAAAACATTAAACATGTTAACAACACAAAAGCCGTATTAAAGGCAGACTACTTTAGGCCCGGAAGTAGGATTTGTCACGTCATCACATAGGGCTAAGCCCGGGTGTATAAAATGGCTGGCTCCGCCTCTGGTGGGGTCCTGTTGACCGGGCATGCTCTGGTGCATCTGCAGATGTAGAGCCCGGTTTAGGCTCCCAACTCTAATCAAAAATCCCAAATAAAATATGGCACATGGTTTGGCAAAGATGGGACAGAGATGGCCCAGAGTTCAGTATTTATCACACGACCTGTTTCCGAGTGACATCCAGACACAGCAATCTTTCTATTGAGTGTCTCGTCCTGTAGAGATACACTTCGGCCATGAAACAGTTTATGGAGTCCCACTGTGGCTTAAAAGACAAAACAAAATGAGAATCAATAAAAATGGTCTTATTTTGACACTGTCTCATTAAAAAACATTTAAAAGGCAGAACCTTTAGACTTCATGATATCGCTTTTGTTTGAAAATAGAACAAATTTGATTTGCCCATATGACGCCTGTTATCTTCATCTGCTCTTTAAATAAACGGAGCCGATGATGGAGCTTCTGTAAAAAACAGACCCGAGGCATATGAGGACAAATCACACTCATTGTTTCACATGGATATAATCAGGTTTATTCATAAAATATAAAAATGAAGGGATGTGGTCACTGTTTGAATTCAGTATTATTCAATAAAACTACAAAATGTCACTGTTAGGATTGAGATCAACATTTGAAGAAAGGTTTTTGGACTGAATGTGACATGGACTTCATTATTTTTATGTCCTCTGGTAACTTGAGTAAATCGATGGCACACAGATTTAGCTGGGCGATGCTGAGGCGGAGCACAGGTGTGCACATAGAAGCTTCATTCTGGGTCATCAGTACAAACAGCTGCTATGCCAGCAGGTAACGGCCACTCGTGAAGTTTAATGGAAGGCCTGGGTCTCGTCTGTGGACAGCTACCAGCTGTTTAACGTATCTGTGATACACTGAAATACTGGGAGTAACAGATTTAACAGGAAGTGTTTCAGAGAAGCGTCAGAACATGAAGCCGTCACTGTGATCCTGCTTTATATAACCTGTGTCTGTAAAGAGTCATAAAACCTCCATATAAGTTTGTTCATGTCTGGGAACTTTGCACTCACCAAAGAATTATTTCAGACTCGGTTCCACATCGCTGCAGACTGAATCTGATAGAAGCTGCAGAGGATTAAACATGAAGAGGAGTCAGGACTTTTTACATGAAACATTTAGTGTTTACAAAAATATTCAACTCATGATCTGAAAATTATTGCTGAAAAGAAAGTCTGCATCCTTACCAACGAGGAGAGAACTGCATCTAACGACCGACAGACACAACAAGGCAGTGAAAATGAGAGAACTGGACCAAAGTCAGGTTTAAAAGTTCATTTATAGCATTTGCATATTACAGTTTATTAGCTGGATTAACATCAACACAAAAGCTAATGCTACTGATACCAAAGTAAAGCTGGTTAACTGCTCGCTGTCACCCTCGTTTATTTCATCACATTAAAAATCAAACTGTTGTTAATAAATCAGTTTACTTACCAGGAAGTTTGAACAGAGGTGAAGCAGTCCGAGCGTCCAGAACCAAATATGAAGAAGCTTCAGCTTCACTCCAAGAACAAAGACTTCAGTGAATCCAGAGAAACTGATTTCATCACATTTATACTTTAAAGTCGTAGATGTGACGGATTTAACCGCAGAGATTCGAGACGTTTAGAGGATCGCAAGGAAAATGGCGGCGAAATGCTGTCACGATAGATTTGAACTGACTGAAACAGAAAACGTCCAGAAATACCAGAATAAAAATCATCTCACCATCATAAAGCCTCCTAAAATATCAGGACTGAACACTGACTTTATCACCTTTACTGTCAGATCATCTGATGATGATTTTACAGCTCATCAATAGTTTTTCTATAAAATGAAAGGATTATTGAACAGCTTTGTTTTAAAAGTGCGATAAAAATATTCACATAAAAAAACAGAAACTGTTTTATTTCATGAGCAGATGATACATTTAAAACTTTTATTAATATCAACTCATCAGCTCAGAGTTTTATAAAACTTGAATAATTATACATTTATAATTTCTAATATTGACTCAAATATTAAGAGTCATATGAGATTGATTTGGTTATTTTCCTCTTATCTGTGATATAAAATCTTTACAGCTTAAAAATCATAAATGATTTCTTTGAGTGCAGCTTGGTGCTGATCAAGCTTTAAACTGAGAGTAAATGAACAAACCTAACATGTGTGAACTAAAAACACATTTCAGACTGAAACTGAAATCGTGTTCCATATTTTTTTATGCAAAGAGCTGCTCCTGTTTTATGTTTCAGGAAATAATGACTGTCCCAAAACTCAAAGCACACACCAGCCTGAGGATCACTGCAGGACAAATACACTCACCCATGGGCTGTGGATCAATCAGTACCTTGGTCTCCACTGCAGTACGACCATCCATGTCTTCTTCTGACTGTTTACATTTCCAACTCACCTCTATATTCAAGTCTGCTCCTGGTTCCCTCCCCTAAACTTCAGCTGTCCAATCAGAAATCTGGCTGAAAGAAACCAATCAGAAGGCTGAAAAAAGTGCATCATCAGAGTGCATTTCCACAGGTCTGCCTCCTCACACTTAACCTTCTGACGACAACAGGAAACATCACAATAAAACAGCATTAATGTGTTTGTTATTCTGATCAAACATGTCAGGATGAGATGAACCATCAGCACTGAAGCACCAAAACCTGCAGTTCCTCTAATGTCCATCAGAGGCTCCTGCACTGAGCTTTTTACAACGCACCTGCTTCAACTAAGGCTTTAAGTCTGCATAATTAGGGGCGTGGTCTCTTTAACTGAGAGGTGGATGGTGACACAGGTGACTGTAGCTGTTAGTGAAACGTAAACTAAAAGGCAAGGAGAAAAACAAACACCAAAGATCACGTACACTCGGTCTGTAACCCAGGTTATTAACCACAGCCAGTGTCCTAACGCAGCCTTTTCACGGAGCATTTATCGGTCAGTGTTGGATAAAACCATGGTGGGAGACTAAAACCTTGCTCAGAATCAGAATACTTTATTAATCCCAGAAGAAATGATATGGTTATAGTTGCTCCAAGACAATAAGAACAGACTGAACTAAAGCAAATAATACAAATATTTTACAAAGAAACTGACAAAATTTAAGAAATATAAATATGCAAAATATTACAGAGAGTAAATATATATGATTGACATTTTACTCTAAACTGTAGAACTTTGTTATTTGTTATTTTTACAGTCGAGCATGTGCAAGAGGGTGTACTGCTCTGTGTGCTGTGCATTAGGTGAACTTTACAGCTCCATCCCTACAACATTACTGCATTTTGATCAGTTTATTGAGTCTGTTAGCATCTGTGACCCTTGACCTGCTTTCCCAGCATGCAACAGCACAGATGATGGTACTGGCCACAACAGACTCATAGAAAATCATAGAAAATCATAGAAAATCATAGAAAATCCTGAGCATTGTCCGACAGATGTTAAAAGACCTCAGAGACGATTCTGGCTCTTCCTGTAAAGTGCAGTGGTGTTTTAACTAGGGATGGGTATCGTTTAGGTTTTATCCGATACCGGTGCCAAACCGGTACTTTTGAAACGGTGCTCGAACCGGTGCTTAAAGAATGGAGAACAAACTTTGTCCAAAAATCTCTCATGTTCAGCTGGTTTTTGTAAATATATAACAATGTTAGCCTTTTCTGCAGCTATGGGGCATATATGGTATCACTCTTGGCTGGAGGCAGTGCAATGAAAAAAACACAAACTTTGTCCAAAACCTCTCATGTTTAACTGTTTCCCACTTTTTTTTGGTCATTTTAGCCTTTTTGTCCAGGGTGAAGGGAGTATCTGCCATCAAACAAGAAGACAGCTGCATGTAGCTATGATGATGTTTGCTAGTTCACCTTACATGCATTAATGTAATAACGTGGTTAGCCTACTCAAAGTAAATTACACACGAACAACATTAAGCTACTCACGCAGAGAAGAACGGCTGCTGCTGCATCATCATCCTCATCATTTCTGCTACACTGGCAGGGCTAGGGGCCAGGACTCTCCTCTTCGGGTTTTTGGGGGATGTTGCTAACCCCGGGTCCGATAACAGGCATCAGGTGGATGATGGCGTCCACAGTTGCCACATCCATCCAACCATTTTCTGCCTCTTCTCCAGGTCCAGATGATGAAGGCAGTGGTCTCAGCAGAGATGCCCAGACCTCCTTAACCCAAGCACTTATTTCTAGCGAGACACCAAGTCACCCAGAGACATAATTTCTTATGTCTTCAGGAGCAGTGTCCTCAGTCTGCCCAGGTGTCTCCTTTCATATGGACATGCTCATAACGCCTCACACAGGAAGCTGCCAGAAGCATCCTCGTCAGGTGCCCAAACCACGTCAGTGTGCTGCTGTTGACTGAACTCCTGACCGCATCACTCCAGAGCAAACTCATTTCTTGTATTCACACTTTCATTTCTTCACTACCCAAAGCTCATGAGTACAGGTGAGACCAGGAACAGGTAAACTGACAGCTTTACTTTCCCCTCCTTGCTTCACCACGACAGACTGGAGCAGTGTCCACATCACTCCCGCCCTCAGTCATTAACAATACTCGAACATAATTAACATTTGTTACGTTTGTATGGACACGCAACAGAGACATCACTAACTCAGCAGAGCTGGTCTCACAAACCTCTGATGCATTTCAGGACCTGAGGCATAAACATGGAGCACTGAGGCTGTTTCAGGTCACAGCAGGAGAACAGGAGCTGAGTCAGAGCCTGAATGTCTCTGTCAGTGCTGATAAACTCCACATGATTAAATCTCAGCTGCTGCTGACTCTGAACCGCAGAGCTGAAGAGGACTCGTTGTTTGTGTGTGAGAATTGTTCTTTACAAAATTAATCAAGTTTATAGAAGTGAGGCTAACGATCCAGTCTAATGCATGCCTGTGTGTGCGCTGAGCTATATGAGCCGTGGACAAGAGGGGAAAGAGAGGCCGTATCAATGCTTTTCAAAATAAGAGAATGTTAGCATTGGTAATACAGCTGCAGCCATAAATACCTGCACATAAAGAGCTCGTTCCTTTATACTTACATCCCAACTAATGCTGGAATAAAGTTGCAGCACTCGGCAATCTAACGTTATAACAGAAAAAAACAGCACATGAGTAGAAAGAGAGTCGGGACAGGTGACATTTAAAAGGCCAATTTATTTTAGTTTGGACATTTTATCATTGTTTCTGCAAATTTAACAAACTGTAGAAAAAACATATAAGGAAGCAACTTTAACAAGTCCTGCGGCAGCAAAAATGTTCACAGTTTTAATCGATCAAAAGCATGAAAGTAAACTGCCAACCTAACTCCAAAAACATTCAAATGTGAAGAAAAACAGAAGGGGAACATTAAAAATCATGAAGAATACATATGAAATAACGATGTCAACACGTCTCAGAGGTACTGAGAGGAAACCGCTGGTTGTCTCGATCAGGGTGAGAGACGCAGCGTCAGAAATAAAAGCTCACCAATCAGCACAAACCTGCATCTACAAACTGGAGAACAATTTCAGAATAATGCTCATCATCAGCTACAGCACAGTGACATCAACACTCAGAGACGCTCTGTGCAACAACATCGTTCATCAGGTTTGGACGCTCGTGATCTTCGGGCGGCGCTGCATTAAAACAGGGCTGGATGGTCGTTAATGCATCAAAGGATGTTTAATGTCGTTTCTTCAAACTCAGTCTGAAGGCTTTAAGTCACATAATCAGTTTAAGAAAAAGTCTCATGACCCTCGCTGATCCTTTTCATCGTGCTGGATGTTGTAAGTGGCTGTTGCACGGCTACAGTCAGAGCCATTCATCACACTCCTTTGCCAGGTAAGAATTAAACTGTATCACTTTCTGAGCTAATTCTTCACCCAGCATAGAAGCTAACAAGCCCCCCACCACAGAGGTCAGTTCCCTGTTTGCATCACTGACCTGATATGTTGGTTTCAGCCTGTTCTTATGTTCTTCCAACATTTCCTTGGTGTAATATTCTTTGCCCTCTGCCTTGTTAGTTTGCACCACCTGATTGATTTTGTCCACCAGCTCCTTTACCTTTTCAGTTTTCTGGTCTTTTTCACCTTTGTTGTTAAGGACACAGTAGTTCTCTGTTTTAAAACCAACTCTCTGAGTAAACTTTGTTATCTCATCCTCATCCTCAGCTCCATCTACAGTCATCAAGAGGAAAAAGTAAGGCCCTGACGCGTCGCCAAACATCTTCTTCAGGGCTTCCACTCGTTTCTCGTCTTGTGTGTTATCTCCCTCCCATTTTTGCACATACAGGAACACATGAGGACCCTGATCAGCCTCAAACACGGATGCAGTGATCTTATTCAGCACTTCCTCTTTTTTATAGTTGGTGTGGCACAGACCAGGAGTATCAACTAAAACCAGTTCTTGGTCTCCAAACTGTGCTGTCTCCGTCTTGCATGGTGTTGTGTCTGAGAGAAGGCGGTTCTTCTTCACAGCAGGTTTACCCAGGAACGTGTTGATGGTTGAAGTCTTCCCAGCTCCAGTCTTCCCAACGAGGATAATCCTCAGCTTTGTCGGCCCTGTTTGAGAATTTACACGACATTCATCACACATCAACACTGCAGCAGTCACAGTGTGACTGATCTAGACAACAACAACTGACATTAGCTTAAATTGATCCTATTTGCTTCCTTTGCTTTTCAAAGACATGATCAGTTAGTCTGGGTTGAACAGCTGACTCCAGCTTTGTAGAGTCTCACTGAGCTAAACGCTGCTTTGCTGATGACTCGGTGCTCTTTATGTCTAATGCTGCAAAACACCTGAAAGGCTTCAGATGGTTTTTAAGGCGTCTCAGTTCTGCAGCAGTCACCTGCCGTGTGAACCAGGCAGCCATCTATTTAAAGAAAACCCTTTCAGTATAATACATGGATAGAAATGAAAGTAAAGTTTTATTTAAGTATGAAAATAATTTTAGGAGCATTAATGATGTTCACACCTCCTGGAGCTCTGTTCTAAGAATACAGTTAAACAGCTAAGAGGAAGAAAATGTCTGAAACTGTAACTATTAAACTACAACCAATGATAGTGAAGCACTCCATTATAAATATAAATAAATAACATAAATTACATCATGTCAGAAACAAAATGACTTTCTAGTTTTGCTGAAACACCAAGTTAGTAAAACATCTGTAAGGGACCTTTGAGTGAAACTCTAAACTTTAAACATTTAGTTTAAATCGTGCAGTGAACAGTGAAGTCTTTAAACTTCACTGAATTCTCCAGATGAACTGCTGTTCTCTGTGTTTTTGTCTAATAACATGAACAGTTGAACGAGCAGCTGTTGTGTGACGGTGGAAGCGTCACTGAATATTGGCAGCATCTGTTGAATGTGACAAGAAAGCTGAGTTTGACTAAAACACCAAAGTGTGTGAGAAATGTAAAGTTACTTTCAAAGTTACAGGTAACTCCACAGGCTGACAGTTAACATACACGAACGTAAACCTGGAAATATTAGTCTGAGGAAGAGAACGAGTCCTCGCTCTGCTGGTTCATCCAAAAGCTCAAATATAAAACGTTCTTACCATCATTTGCATGTTTGCCGGCCATCCTGCCTGCTAGATGTGGTTGGTGGGCAGTCACGAGTGGGTCCTCTTCTTTGTAACTTCATGTTTTTATAATAACGTCTGTATAGTTCCCTCCCCTTGAACACACATCACCAAACCGGTTTCCGAAAGAGCCGTCCAATCACAGAGCACGAGTCAGAATGAGATGCAGACTCAAGGACCAAAAAAAGAAAGGTTCAACCAACAGGGTGCTGGGATTTTTCACTTATTAAAATTTAATTAGTTTCATTCTTTTTAAGAAAGTGGGACGTGGTATTTAAAACAGTGTGTACAAAAAAGATGATGCAAGCACCTGAAAATAAAATGAAGCCGTTCACAAAGATCCTGCGTAGAGCTGGCAGAAGTGCACATCAGTACGACGACCTTTGATAGAAAGGACACGTCCTTTCTTTTACACAGGAATCAGAAATATCTATTCAAAAATGAAACATGTTAGGCGACTATTTCTTGTCTTGAAATGTGCATTTCTCCTTTGTTTTTACTGCGGATGTTCCAGGTCAGTAATCAGACCAGAAAACGCTCAGACAGGTGGATGGTGACACAGGTAGCCGCTAGCAGTCTTCTAGGCTTCACCTCAGCTAACTGGAGTCCCTGAACTAGATCTCTGCACCGTGTTTGTGCTGCTGGGGCATTTTCATTGATATGACACATCGTCTGTGAGGTCACTGTACTAACAGACCCTCTAAGAAATCTGAGCTTCAGTTTTGTGAGTGAATTTCCAGGACTTTTATTGGAGGTTATATGTTATTATAAGCTACCAGCTGCAGCTTCAACGGCCAAGCTGTTCTCAAACCATTAAACTCTTTTATCATTAATGACTGAGAAAGGTTGTGGGTCAGAGTGTGGGCGAGAGCTATTTTGGCTTTTGAAATGAAAATCTCGGACAACCTCTGATTACAACAGCAGCTACATCAGTGTGGTTGAGGTAACACTTTAAAAATCACAGCTTTAAGGCTTAAATCACTCGTGTTTCCCTGTGATGCTCAGAGGAGCAGTGAGCCGTCCTGACTCACTTCTGATAACCCCCTCCTCTCTGATGGTCCTGCTCCTCCCCAGCACTGAGCCCGCCTCCTGGTTTGAGGATGTTGGACTCTGAGGAGCAGTGCAGCTGTTTGCTGAACGTCTGCCCTCTGGTGGCCACAGGAGAAACTACACCTGCTGGTCTGTCTGGGTTTGAAACGTCTGACACAGGCTGAGGTCAAAGGGTGAAGTGACCTGAAGTGTCTGCAGCCACGATGAGAGCTGATCCACATCAGCTTTACACTCCAAGACTCACAGTCTGAAGACAACATCTGGTTAAGTTCAGCTCGATGTTGTCCAGACCCAGCTGTGAGCATCAGTGTGATGGATCCATCACAGTGTGAATCACCTGCAGCAGGTTCATGGCTGTGACGCAGAGGAGCAGAAAGCAGATGTTTGGTGTTTGCTGATCTGTTTCTGATAATTCGCCACAAAGTGCATTCTGGGTAAACTTTGAACACTCATGTCAGCATGTGGGATAGTTTTCTGCTCAGAACAACTTAGAGCACATAGAAAGGTGTGCTTTTACCTGGATTTGATGCAGGATCACCTGAGTCAGAATGATTTTATTATATCATCATATTTAAACTCTGAATGTGACGTCAGTGCTGGTCACATGCTCTCTGTAACAGTTTGGATCAAAGGTCCAAAAGATCAAAGTTTTTTTTAAATCCTTGAAGTTGCTGGATCTCTCGGGATCTGAGTTTTTATTTATTCAGGCTTTTATCTCTTAATAGCTGTTATATAAAATAATACTTTACATAATTCAAACAGCTATAATTTAATATATCATATGAACACAATTTATAATTTATTAAAGATGATTGTAAAATAAGGTGAAGCATGTTATAGCGAGGGACCGCTGTACACATGAAACAGAAGACTATCAAAATAAAACAGGAAGTGCAAACACTCAGAATAAGTCCTAAGACCAAGTGTTTTCTGTCCGTTTCCTGACCCTGGACCGTGAATGGAGGGAAGATCAGCGCTCTTGATGCTCTCAGCAGACCTGATTGTGTTGCAGTCTGGGCCTGTCCTGCTTCCGGCTGAGCCAGACAGTGATCGATGTGCACAGGACTGACTGCACGATGGCTGTGTAGACGACGACCAGCAGGTTGTGGCAGGTTGTACTTCCTGAGTTCCTGCAGGAAACACAACCTCTGCTCGGCCTTTGTCCAGACAGAGTCTATGTGAAGACTACCTGTATTTGTATTATTGTAGGCTCTTTACATTATAAAGTGCTTTGACGCAACTGTTGTTGTGAATTGAAATAAATTGAAAAAATGACATTGAATTGAATGAATCCAGCCTGGTGTCCGGTCAGACCTGCTGACAGTGTTTCACCGTCAGGGCTGTCTGCCTCTCACAGCTGCTCTGCTGCAGCTCTGAGAGGCTGAAGCTAGAGGCTGTGTTTCCTCCTATGAGCAGCAGAGGGCAGCGTTTCACTGAACAGCTTCACAGCTTCACCTCTGAGACTCTGCTCTCAGTAGAAACATGTTCAGTTTGTTTCTGCTGGGATGTTTTTCTGTCTTCGTGCTGATTGGAGCTCCTGCTTCACTTTGTGAGTCACAGTTTGGTCCGTCAGTCAGCTGCAGATGATTTTATATCCATGTAGAATCAGACACTTTAAAGCTTTCAGTGAAGTTGTTTATGTTTCATTTTCTCAGTAAGGTTCAGATCTGTCAGTGTTCAACTATCCTGTGCATGTGTATGCACTCATTCCTGTTTGATGTGTCTAATTATTGAAGAATAAACTGTTCACATCAAACATTTGTGCTCAGTGGTTCAGGTGTGCTTGAAGGTTGGAGTTTATCTCACTACCAAGCCTGGTGGGTTGACACTTACTGGGGATTTGCACCAAAGCCTGACAGGACACGCTGGGAATGAATACCAAAACTATGAGTTGTTGATTGGGTTGTGTTTGTGTCTGAGAGAGGTAGAGATATCTGTCTTTCCAACAAACCGCAGCCCCGAGACGGGCAGATCCTAGAACCAGGTTGAGGTGCTTCCATAGCAGCACTCTGAGCTGTGAACGATACAGGTCAACCCGTCCAATCTCCCAGAGGAGGACATCTGAGAGCGTTCTCCTGTGGAGAGCTCCTGGAGCTCAGAGACTATCAGGACACAAAGAGAAGAAGACGTCTGTCTTTCAGCAGGTTATCAAGAACCTGCTTCTGTTTTATTACATGCACGAGGTTACACAAAGGCAACAAGTGAAACAAGTCCGACATGTACAGGAGAATGACCTTTGACCTCTGATCTCGGTCCATCTATGAGACGGACATGTTCCTCTGCTAACACAGGGAGACGTCTGCAAACACGTCCCACTGTCTGTCTGCATGTTCACATGTTTGCTGCTCAAAGGCACAAGGTCAGGACTTCCTGTACAACAAGTTCAGGCACAAAAGCTGTAATCTGTAAAAAATTCTGTACTGTACAGGAGACAGGGCACGGAGGACATGGACAATGGTCTACAGTCGATCAGGACGCAGAACACAATGATACAAAAAAAATCAGCGAAACAGCGAGGCCGTGAAAGGTGAACCGTGTTATAGCGAGCGACCACAGTATGAGTAAAATTAGCATTGCCATAAGAGTGCATATTACATATTAGAGTATAGGTAATGGATTATATATTTCTATACAAGTTCAGGCACGAAAACAATATATATCATATATATCTATCTGCAGGTTTAAGACACCGAAGTGTTTCCATCCACAAACATGTGAAAACCGTCTGCACTGAAGCTGAAGCACACATTTGCATTTGTATCAGGAAACAGTCCTGTAGAAACTCCTAAAGTGAGAACATGGAGTTTATCCAGGAGAACAAACACAAGAAAACCCTGAAACCCAAAAATCCTTTAAAATGAGAACAAACTGTATGAATGTAGAACAGAGTCTGTGACGGCCAGCAGGATCTAACCTGATCAAACTGATAGATTATCGATCTGTCCAACAGACAAAAAGACATTTAAAGACTGTGTGTTATCTCACAGGTCACCACTGGATGTGAAAGCAGTCACAGGTTAATGAAGATAAAAGTTCACTTAACATCCAGCAGGTCACTGCAGCAGATCCAGAGTTGGGCTTCACCTGTTTTTATCCTGTTTCAGTTGTTTCAGACCCACAAGAGGAAACATCGTAAAGCCAAAATATTAGAAACATCATCTGAATCTAACATCTAGTTTTTTATTAACATGTGGCTCATACAAAACCTGAACCCTAAACTCTGGTGACCTGGTGAATGTTCAGTTGTATATAATAATGTACAATGATGATGTGTTCATGTGGCAAAGGTTTCCATTTGGTGGGGTGGTGGTGGGATCCCACAGTGACAGCGTAGAGGCTCAGAGCCTCCAGTCATTTAGCTCTTGCTGGTATCTCGTAGCATCGAGCTCTGAGATGTCAGCAGCAGATGCAAACACCGTAGCCGGTTCTCGATCTGCTGAAAAATAAAATGACTGACCCATGATGATTTCCGACTAATAGTTTTCTAGATTTATAAATTTGGTAATCAGCTTAAAGAAAAAAACCAATCAAACCCAGTGATGATGATGAAATCTAGGTGAATTTCTTTTTAATTTTAAATTTAGCAAGTACCACCAAAAACGCTGTTGCCATAAACAGGATCATACCAGCTACACCTCCAATTGCAGCTCCTGTTGTAGATGTCAGTTCACCACGGCAACCAACAACATATCCTATTGCAGTTCCAACAGCTGTTCCAATCACGCCACACCGGTCATAAAAAGAGCGCCACTCTGCTTCTGTTGTTGATGCTTCTTTCTCTTTTTTTCCCAGAGCTTTTTCAGCCTGCTCGAGCATCCCCTGGGAGTAGAAAAGATAACAGTTCTTCCTCATCTGTTTCATCTTCTTCTGCAGCTCAGTGACTTGAGGCTGCTGATGTTCAATGTCAGCAACGTTAAAAATAAAGTATCTATCATCAACATGCCTGGTTAGTTTTCTGAGGGAAAACTGGTCCA